CTTTACATATTGTGTTACAGAGACAGACTCCTAGAATTTATATGGAAACAGCAGTGTGTGGTGTAACATTGGCCCACTGGAATTATCCACTGGAATGTGGTAATTGCTAACAGAAATGGTAAAGATGCTAATCTAAATTTTCTCATTATCTTCATCAGTTCAGAGATGCAGATTCAGTGAAAAAAAAACAGAACCTGTTCTGTTTTGATCTGAAGGCAATATAAAAAAACCTCTATTAAATAATATCAGTCTGTGATCTGGTCTCTCTTGGTTGCATAAATACACCCAACAGGAACATTAATGCAAATTTTAAGTGTTCATTAAAGAAAAAAATAGGTATGTGTACTTTTTTTTAACTGATGGCTCATGTATTCAGAATTTTAAACACTGTTACATGATGGTATCACGGCTTGGTATTTCTTATGCATTTGACAGACTGTCCCTGGAAACAAGGCAATATATCTCAATTCAGTAGTCTCTCTAAATATATATAGATATATAGATATAGATACACAATAAATGTTTCATTTCTTTGTTGGGATTAATGGAAAATAATAATAAATAGGTTTCTCTTTGTACACTGTACATTTGAGATGGTATGATAAAACATTTTGTACTGTGCAAAGCAACAACCTGTAAAATAAAAGGCCAAGTTAAAAGCTGACAAACTGTTGAATGGTTAATATATACACAATTTCAGCTGTACTTAGAACATATTTGAGTCCTGTATTGTATGCCTCTATTAGATACAAACAAACCTCTTAAAACTTTCCCACTTGCTGTGTTGATGTTTAGTTTTATTTAATATACTGAAAGTGAACTCAGTCCATTAGTAATGCAGTGCTGTGATCTTACAACACTTTACTCTGAATTGCAGATTTTGAGTCTGGTCAAGTGGTAATTCAAACACAGTACAAACAATTTTCTGAGGCCCAAGGGAAACCGGGGGGGGGGCGGGGGGGGAGTACCTCAAAGTAATTAGCTGACTGGGAATGCTGGGAGCTCTGCTGGTTCGAGAAGGACTAAGCTATGTGAAAACTCAATGTACTGCTGAAGTCCCTGTCCTTGTTAATAGTAATTGTGGTAAGAGGATATAATGGCAATTAAAAAAAAGAGAGATCAAGCAGTTAAAGGGGAAAATATAACATGAAAATAAACCTGAATGGAAAAAAATTAAAATAGGCAGTGGAGAAAAAATTACTCACCTCTCTTCACGGTTCTGTCCCACACATACACGGCCTCCATGCCGAGGAGTTGGATTGCTGCATGAACGCTGGCGGACTTGAAAACCAATTCCACAGGTAGTACTGCAGGGGGACCAGGAAGTCCATGGAGTCCAGCCCCCATTTCTAGTAGAATAAGAAGTCTGGGCTCTGTCATCTGTTATATATACAGTGAGCAGCTGAGAACAGAATTTGGCCCATTAATATCTGCAGATATAGTTAATTCTGCATGGAGTTAAACTTCCAGAAGACTTAGTGAAAAAAAGAAGTTTCTCTGATACTTGTCTTTCCCATCATTTGTACCTGGTCTATATTATACATTACTGCTGAAATGGGCCCAGTGACCAAACACCTAGAAAACCCACACAAGTCCCTGTAATCTGACCATGTAAGGTGGTACGTAGTTTAAAGCTGAAGGGATCACCAAAACATGTAGTCTGACCTACTAGTGGTCTCCAACACCATCCAGCACCTGCACACAAGTGAAAACAGACCAAAGTATTATAGGCTACAAGAGACCAAACTATTATGTGGCACAGGCCTAGAATAGAAGGGACCAACTACATTATAGAGGTGAAATGGGTAAGTGAAATAATCCAGGCACGTGACCCAAGCCCACACACTACAGAAGGCAGCAAAAACCATTCAGGCTGCCAGTCTGACCTGGGGAAAAATCCCTTTCCAATTGCATTTATGGTGATCAGTTGGATACTCAGCATGTGAGCAAGAACTAGGCAGCCAAGCACCAGAGACAGTAAATGCTCAGTACTACCTCAAAGCTTTTGCCCACTCCACTCAATTTTCAGCTGAGACCATCCCTGATTGTTCGGAGAAAGAAGATTAAAAGAACAGAACAAAATACATGGGAAGAAGCACAAATCCTTCCTGACGCATGCAGGTGGCTGGCTGAAACACTGAAGCAAGAGCTTTTACAAACATAAGGCATAAAGCAAAAATGAGACGTCAGGCACTTGAGATGAGGTGACCTATTGCCTATTTATCACAAGTAACCCCAACAACCCAAAAAGAAAACGATGAAAGCTTTTATTGCACTTGGATAATTTTGGCACTTGACCACAGAATATTGGAATTTCATGGCAAATACTTCCTGACATGAACTGTCACTAAACTGGGTTTAATTATCAGTGTATACATGGGTTTGCTCTGATATGTATATATTTAGGCTGAGGTCATGTGTGAGTCTGTTCAAAGTTCAATAAAATATTTGTTTAAAAAAATTACACTTCTAATTTTTAACCATATTCACCACCACCATCACAAATGTTTACTTTAGTTTTTATAAAAATTAAATGACACATGTAGTTTACATTACAGGGCAGGAAGACAGGGGAAATCTGACATTCTTCTCTATTATTTCAAAACAAAAACAAAAATAAAAAACCAAAACCAAACCCACTATTAACAGCAAATGGAATTAAATTTTCCTCAGTTAATTTATTCTGGATACATTTAATATTTAAATTCCCACATTAACTTTTTTGAGAGAATTTTGAGTTACATAATGCTCTGAGCAGTGATTCTCAAACTGTGCGCTGGGACCACAGAGTGGGTTGCAACCCTTCTTTAATGGGGTTGCCAGAGAGTTGGTGTCAGATTTTCTGGAACTCAGGACTGAAGCCAAAGCCTGAGCCTCACTGCCTGTTATCAAAGTCCAAGGTCTTCCGCCCTGGGTAATAGGGTTCAGGTTATAAGCCTCATCCGTATAGCTGAAGCTCTTGAATTTTGGCCTCCTCTCCATCTGTGGCAATAGGGCTCATGCTTTGCCCCTCCCACCTCCCACACACCTCAAAGTGCTGGGGCTTGGACAGGCTTTGGTTCCCTTTCCTGTGGTCATGTAGTAATTTTTGTTGTCAGAAGGGGGTTGAGGGGCAATATTATTTGAGAACTGCTATGTTAGAGAGACCATATTATTTATAGCACGTCTTTTAAGGAAGATTAAAAACTTTAAGTTCATGCCCTTCCTTTTTCTGTAAAAAATAAATAAATAAAAAACCCGGAAAAATCAAGTTCTAGGAGCAATACGATTTCAAGAGGAAACAATTACATGAGCTCACAAGTCCACAAAATCCTCAAATAAGACAACAATACCTTCAAAGGTACTGATACAACTAACAGAATCAATACAGATTTCTTATACTTGTAAATCCCTAGAAAGCACAGTCTTGTTCCCATTAAAGTCAGTGGGTAATTCCTACTGACTTCAATATGAACGGTATCATGCCAAATGTACAGAAAGAAATTTTAAACCCTAAAGAAATCAATGCATGATAGCAGTTCCCACCATTTTTTTTCACACCTGAAAATTGGTAGTAAAGATAAGAAATTTAACAAAAATCAAACTCGGCAATGTAATTCTCTTGAGATTTCATTAGAAACACTTACAAAGAATACTGAAGTTAATATAATACAAATTACCTTAATTAATAATTAAAAAGCTCAACTGGTTCAAAATACAACAGGATAAAAATGTTGTTCTTGTCAGATCATTTCAACAGATGAGCAAGAGAGTGACGTTTTAACTTTTACTAATGGCTTATTGTTATTCAAGCAATGTATGAAACTTCCCTTGTTTTATTGGACACTGAATTTGACACTAGAGAAAATGGCTGCCTGAAAAATATCATGGTTCACTGCTACTGATTTTGGACAGAAAAAAAGGGTTAATTACTGTAAGAATTAGTATCAATGGCATAATTTTGAGATGTACTAAAATCAAGGAAATCTTTGGGTGCCTAGTACAGTACTCTGAAAATCCATTATTAGTATGAATGGTTATGCAAATGAAATGATCTAATGTTAAGCAGGGAAATGACTATGATAATATCTATGGTTTATGAGCATTTCTCCAGTCCCATCAAAGCCTTCAGGACTTAAAACTAATTTTTAAAGGTGATTAGACATTGTTGCACTCAGTACTATGGTGCCCATGTGATTCGGGAGCCTAGATAATATTTTTACAAGGGATTTAGGCACTAAGAAGTCAAAATCTCCTTGGTTAAATTCCTAAATCTCTTTTCAAAAGGAGATTTAGGCTCCGGAGTCAGTGAAACATTACAGCAGTGAGTTTAGCAATGCCTAAGCAATTTAAACACCTCAAAATGCCTTTAAAACTCTGGGCCTCCAAGTCCATACTTGGGCAACAATACTTCTAATAACTTTTGTCCAACTGTTTAGCATCATTTAGTATCCTTGTCTTCTTCCTACACTTCTCTACATTCATCTGCAAACACCACTGATTTTTTTCTTAACTATTTGCACACTCCATTATAACATCTGGAACCATTACACACAGGATAATAACTGCTCTGATTCATACAATATTGTCATGAGGTGATTAAGTATTTGCTACTGGTGTAGCGTAAGTAATGGACTGGAGAAAGTGATAAAAGAACGAAATGAACAGACTGGAAATGAACAGACCAGACCATTTAACAAATTTGAACTTAAGGCATTAAATGTAAAAAATGTTTGAAACCTGAGCTCCGGATCAAATTAGCTCCACTTCCTTCACTCTCACCAGTTGTCAGTGTAAATCTGCTAATCCTACACCCTCGGCCTTTGCCAGCACTATTCAGAAAAAAAATACACTCCCTGTTTCTAAACTTGGAATGAAAAATGATCTCCTCTGTTATTCAGTCTCTGGAATCAAGTGAGTGTGCTGCGATGGAAAAGTGGTTGCAGAGACCAGACACGGTAGGCCACAGGCCAGGGTGTTATGTTATCAGCACAGGCTTCAGTAGAGCTGTCTCCTCTCCACTGCAGACACAGGCATCTCAAAATGTGTTCTTTCTGATCACAGGGCCAGAATTAATGCTTTAAAAAAGCTTTCTGGTTCTGCCAAATATCTTTGTGCCCACAATAAATTTGATTTACTAAACACTAGAGCTACATCTACACTGGCCAGTCTTGCGCAAGAACACATGCAAATGAGGTGTGGTGATGAATATTGCCACGCTTTATATGCATACTTACTGAGCCGCCATTTTGCGCAAGGGGCTTATGCCTGAAAATAAGCGGCAGAACAGTTCTTGAGCAAGAAGGGGGATTTGTGCAAGAAGGAGCAGTGTAGCCCCTGGTAAAAATGGCGGCTCATTAAGTATGCAAATGAGATGTGGTGATATTCATTCCCTCACCTCCTTTGCATATGTTCTTGCGCAAGACTGGCCAGTATAGATGTAACCTCGGACTTTAAATTCTGGGTGTCACCGAAGGCACTGATTTTCTCCTCTGTATTTCTTTTGTGAATGTTAGTTGGGGTCAACTTAAATAGTTTCACAAAACTTAAAGCTAATTTTTCCCACTTATCCAGTTCTCTCTCCCAGCAAAGTCTGAGAGGCTATTTATGTCCCATGCTGCTGTGGCTTTCATCATAAGCAGTTCCACATTGAAGAAAGAATAGGAAGGCTTTGCACAAAAAATATTACTTCATTTTTTTCTTTGAAATAATTTTTAAAAGGATATCCTATAGCATGGGTTTGTGCCTGGCAATTGTCTGATCACAGGGCCAGAACTAGTGCTTTAAAAAAGCTTCCGGGTTCTGCCAAATATCTTTGTGCCCACAATAAATTTAATTTACTAAACACTAAGGTTAAGTTTACACTGGCCAATCTTGGGCATACCTGGAGCAGTTGGCAATCTCCATACTTGGTCCTTCACACTGCCAGCCTCCACACTGAGGAGATGGACTGTCACACAAGCGAGTTCTACAGAGGCAGGAGCCGACACTGGTACCATCACTGTAGGTGCAGGGTTTCCATTGAGACCACATTCCAAAATTCCCATCCACAGTCAAATTCCTAGTCTGGAAGATTAAAAAAAAAAGCAGAAAGTCAAGGCTTATGATTAGACAGCAGAAAACTAAACAGAGGTCCCTTTTGATGTAACTTCTTGGTTGTACAACATATTGAAGTCTGAATTTCAACAAATCAGAATTTAGAGCCACCCGTGGAGTTGTTCTCAAAAGGATCACGCCCTTCTAGACTGAAAATTCTTTAGAACAGGAATTCTCTTTTTTGTTTGGGCAATGGAGCCTTTGGATGAAATCATAAGAACATAAGAATGGCCGTACTGGGTCAGACCAAAGGTCCATCTAGCCCAGTAGCCTGTCTGCCCACACTGGCCAGCACCAGGCGCCACGGAGGGGGTGGACCGATGACAATGATAACGCAATTTTTCTCCTGCCACCCTTCTCCAGCCTCTGACAAACAGAGGCCAGGGACACCATTTCTATCCCCTGGCTAATAGCCTTTTATGGACCTAACCTCCATGAAATTATCAAGCTTCTTTTTAAACTCTGTTATAGTCCTAGCCTTCACAGCATCCTCTGGCAACAAGTTCCACAGGTTGACTATGCGCTGTGTGAAGAAGAACTTTCTTTTATTAGTTTTAAACCTGTTACCCATTAATTTCATTTGGTGTCCTCTAGTTCTTCTATTAAGGGAACTAATAAATAACTTTTCTTTATTCACCCTCTCCATACCACTCATGATTTTATATATCTCTATCATATCCCACCTTAGTCTCCTCTTTCTAAACTGAAAAGTCCCAGTCGCTTTAACCTCTCTTCATATGGGATCCATTCCAAGCCCCTAATCATTCTAGTTGCCCTTTTCTGAACCCTTTCTAAGGCCAAAATATCTTTTTTGAGGTAAGGAGACATCTGTACACAGTATTCAAGATGTGGGCGTACCATAGTTTTATACAGACGCAGTAAGATATTCTGGGTCTTATTTTCTATCCCTTTCTTAATAATTCCTAACATCCTATTTGCCTTTTTGACCGCCGCTGCACACTGTGTGGAAGTTTTCAGAGAACTATCCACGATAACTCCAAGATCTCTATCCTGATTTGTCGTACCCAAATTAGCCCCCATCATACTGTATGTATAGTTGGGGTTATTTGTCCCAATGTGCATTACTTTACACTTATCCACATCAAATTTCATTTGCCATTTTGTTGCCCAATCACTCTGGGTATTGAGATCTTCTTGGAGTCCCTCACAGTCTGCTTCTGTCTTTACTATCCTAAACAGTTTGGTATCATCTGCAAACTTTACCACCTCACTGCTTACCCCTTTCTCCAGATCATTTATGAATA